TATATATATATATATATATATATATATATATATATATATATATATATATATATATATATATATATAGTCTGTATTCTAAGAGCCACGGCAGCACACCTGTAGTGCATGAGCCCTAAAACTGAATAGAGGTGGCATATTCTAGTTAGAGTATGGAAATAATATCGCTCATATATTCACTTCTAGGGCCCAAGCACTACAATATTTCCCCCCTTATGTCACATAGTTCCGTCAATTCCTCGGCACGGAAAACTACTGTCGGATGTTTATAGGATCCGGATTGGCAGTCCTCGCCAAACCTCTACTGGAACACCCAATCCCCAAGGCAGCCTGAACACGCACAAGCATTTAGAGGTATTAAACAAAGTCTCGTGGAGTTCACAACAGTCCAAGCCGCAGATAGCCAAAAGCCTTACCATCTCTTTACCGACGCCTCCGGTGATGCGATCGCCGCAGTTCTTGAACAGGATTAAAAACATGTCGGGTTTCTAAGCAAAGTTAGATGTCTGATATTGAAGAGCGCGATTCCATTTATGACAGAACCCCTGGGCACTACAACGCTGCATGGGATATATTGGCGCCTTCTCCTAGAAGAGAGCAGAGGCTTTCGCCGTGGACTGTTAAATGCTGTCAGCTGGTTATTCGCCTTTCCTTCTCCTACAGCTGGCGCCGGGAAGCAGTTAAGGGAATATCAGTCTCGGCGGTCCAAAGCCAAAATAAGGACCTCTGGAGCATCTCTCGAAGAAAGGAAGTGGTTATAACCGTGGTCTGACAGGAGGCGAATTATATGGAGAGGAATGTTGGATAGGAAACGCGGAACAAGTAGAGAGGAATTGGGTCTGGGTCTCGACAGGCGGCTACCGGAGAAGTCTGTTGCATACTGCTGTGCATCTCGTTCCCAAGTTACATTGAAGAGGCGTTGCCCGTGCCCCCGGGAAAAGCGAGTAGAGAACGGTGATTTCAGCGCAGGCCAGTCAGAAAAGTTACAGTTGTCCTCTTATAAAGTCAACCAGAGATGAAGGAAATTCCCCGGTAGGTAGTTTCGGAGTATGGGTTCCCATGGAGAATAAGGGTAACGTGCGTCGGAGGCCGGCACGCGTTGTCCGTGTCCTACATATAAGGTATTGGGGAAGTGGTGCTGATATTCTGGCACGACCATGATGACCTGGTACGTCGGGCGGAAAAGGTGGAGACATACAAGGCGGAGGAGCGCCTGTAATCATTGGTTTATGTTCTGGCGGGAACTGGAACTCCGGTCTACGGCGCTTGGGACCCTGGGCGAAAGAGTAAGCTAGGCCGAATTCGTACCGTCAATAGTAGGCTGGCCGGTGGTGTCTGGATGGGTATTCGTTGGAACACTAATTTTTCGGAAAGAAGGGAAAAAGAAAATATTAGCTGGAACAGTAACAGCCCACAATTATAATGCCCTCGGGTTCTGTTGGGCGCCTCCAGGTTAGCTGGATGTGCCTTGAGTCAGCTCTAGACGCAGCTTCTAGCAGGAGGATGATGCCAGACTTCTACCCCAGCTGCCGTTGTTCCCCTGCAACTACGGACTGCATTTTTCGACTGCTGGGCCCCCTGTATATGCGTCTAATGCCAGAGGCCAGCCAAAAATAAACGGCCAGGGTTTGCTGCTGCCACTCAGCAGCACGTCGCTCTATTGGATATCTATGAGCACTGCGATGCCTCAGAACGGCAGCAGCACAAAAATGAGCTGTGCCGACCACTGCAGGCGGTCTACAGAGTAATGAACTGGCCAGTGGACCACTGGTCACTCCGATGAGCCCATAGGGGCCCTATGGGGCCTCTTACAACTCCGTCTAGTGCTAGCAGCCTCATCTGCTGTCTCTGCAGTAGTCTGCATGCTCACTGTTTAGTGAGCATTAGCAGCGGGGCAGTGTGCCAGCTGCGCTTCCAGAAAAAATGACAGGAGTTGCGAGAAGCAATAAATTGTTTACGGTGTTTAGGACAAGTCAGGAATGCTGTCATCATCAGCATCAAAGGGATTTTCCCCAATAGGGGGCCCCTCTTGGGGGCCTCGGCTTCCGGGGCCAGGAGTGAACAACACTTTCTTTTTGCTTTGAATTTGCTGTAAATCACGAAGGAGGCTGCCGCTGTCCATCGGTGCAGACGGAGCGGCCGGCACCCCACTTATATCCCCACTGAATGCTACGGCATCTAGGCGGTCACTGCCAGCGCTCACTTGCGTGCGAAGTGCAGAAGGCCTGCAGCTACTGCTGCTGCTGTTACTGCTACTGTTGCTGCTGTTACTACTGCCGCGATCCGTGTTGCTGCTGCGTCTTCCAGAAACAGAATGAAGGTCCGTCAGGTGCTGCTGCTGGGGGTGCAACTGCTGCTGCTGGTGCTGCTGCGGGGGGATGCTTGTGTCGATACAGCGTTGCTGGCTTGGTGGCAGCTGCGTATCTGTGGGCTCCTTCGGTGCACCCGTAGATTCAGGAGGCCTGTGTTGGACGACGTCAGCTCCTGTAGCTTCCTGCTGAGGGCCCCCTTGTTCGTGTTGCGTTTGTTGCTTCCCCTGGAGCTGCTGGTGAGGAAGTCTCTCCTGTTCCGTGGGCAGCGGTGTTGAAGGAGTCTGAGCTCCTTCAACCCCGCTGCCAGACCTTTGCAAATTGGTGGTTGTACGAGGTGCCGAGCCAGAAGCAAGTCTAGGAACATCAGACGACTCCTGGGAAGCAGGAGGAGCTGCCATTTTTGGTTGGGCTTGGTACTGCTGCCACCCCTGCGTGTAGCTGCTTTCGTGCTGTTTTGCATATACATGCAAGGGTTGCCCTGCTTGTCGCTGCTGTTCTGACAACTTTGTCTCGATTGCTGCAGCACCTGTCTCCGCAGGGTAGCAAAGAGGGATGACAGCAAAGTCGGTTTGTTGTGTGTGNCGATTGCTGCAGCACCTGTCTCCGCAGGGTAGCAAAGAGGGATGACAGCAAAGTCGGTTTGTTGTGTGTGCGCGGTAACAGGAACTGGAATGCCTCGGCTGAACGGGCAGCACGGAGTTGGGGTTCGTCCATGCATAGCTCCAAAAGGAGCAAAAGACATCACAGGCTTCTGCTTCGCGGCTTCTGCTGCAAATGGAAGAGGTGCCTTCTCAAGCGGAAACGGATTCGGCAAAGGACGAAATTCCACCTGCTTCTTCTCGCTCTGCTGCTGTTGCTGCTGTCTTTGATGCTGCTCCTGCTCCTCTTGCTCTCTACCGGAAGAGAGAGGCCTTACGGGATCACCTCGCACGCCCCCCAAGTGCACCGCTGCCTTCCTCAGCTCCAGCATCTCCTGCCGATACACCTTCCCCACCAGTATTTTGCTGCAGCGAACGCAGCAGCGACAACGCAAACACTCGCAGACCGGTTCAGCAAGCAGATGAACAAGTAGTTGCACCGGTGGTGCGGCGGTGCATACTTTCGTGCAGTAGACGCTATTTTAAAGACCTGATGCTTCAGCTCTTCAAACTAGCGTTTACTGACGAAACACGAATATAAAGAACTGGCTGCTGCAGGAAAACAACAAAATGATGGAGAGAAAGCTGAGGAACAGTTCAAGAATGCGACGGAATCAGAACAGAGGTGCAGTGTGCTGCACAATAAATTACTCAACCAGTTATAAATCCCCGAACAGCCCCAAAAGCAGTACTATACTAGGAAGGGAGACACGTAATCATATGCTAACCTGTTGCGTTCTCTAGACACTTCATCCTGCAATTCCTCTATCCTTGAAAGCGAAGCTGAGACCATGTTGCGGTATCTATACAGTGGCAACAGACAACAATACAGGAAAGAGCAGATCCTATTAACGTGGTTGCTGGCTAAAGTCTGCTGCGTCCCTATTAAGGGCTGAACTGCCACACAGGAGAACCTTCTTGCTGCTTTTGCTCCACAAGAGAAAAAAGCAGAGGATGCAACACATCGCAAACCAACCATTAGCTGGTTTGCAAACACTATATACTGCTCTAATTATCCTGCATCGCTAGCCCAGCTGAGAGTAGAGCTCCGAAACTCTTTGCAGGTTGTCTGTAGTTCCGCTCCAACAGAGAGGCAATAACAGTCTATCTATCCTTCTACACCAAAGAGGGCCTAATATATTATCAGTGTNCTCCAACAGAGAGGCAATAACAGTCTATCTATCCTTCTACACCAAAGAGGGCCTAATATATTATCAGTGTTTTTTCTACACCAAAGGGGTCCTAACAGGTTACCTATCGTTTTGCTCTTTGAACTTGTCAGCAGTTGTGGTCAGCCGCGTCTGTGACTCATCAAGCGCAGCCCTAAGAACAGTTACTTCTCGACTGGCTTTTTCAGCTTCTTTGGTCAACACCGCCACCTTTTCCTGCAATCAACAGCATGCACAGCTCTGCAGAAAACCCTAAGGCGTACAATGCAACAAGGAGGAAAGCAAAAGCTAAATATGCATTTTGAGTTTCAGTATCTCTTCTGTGCCTTCAACTTCTTAGTTTCCGGCCGTTCTTTCCTAATTTCCGACCGCTGTTTCTCAAGAGACTGTGTTGGTAGCCATTGCGCTCAGTGCTATTGCTTCACGTTACATGTTGCTGTTTCATGCAGATTTATTCTCATTAATGCGTTTTCTGTTCCACGTATAGGTATTTTGATTAATGCATTGCGTATCTCATGTATATATATATATATATATATATATNTATATATATATATATATATATATATGTTTATTAATGCATGTTCTGTTTCAGTTATGTTTGCTTCGATCAGTGCATTTGAAGCCTCATGTGTATTTCTTTTGATTAGTCCATATTTGAAATTTACCCTCAGCTCTGTTCGCTGGTTGACAACGCCCCGGTATTTGGCTGAGGTTTCGAGCAGTTCCTTTTTCACTTCCTGCAGTTGCTGATAACGGCAAGTCACAGACAGCACAATTGAGCTTGCTCCATGACTTATGAACTCCTGCTTAAGATGGAAAACGTGAAATATCGCTCCCTGAAATGCTTCAAATACCTCTTATACACCCTTGCTGCTGCCGTCTTACTTGCTGCAGCGCGACAGTTGCCGGCTGTGCCAAGAGTTCCTCTTTCTCTGCTGTGACCTCCTTCAGAGCAAACTGCAAAAACGCTATGCGGCTGCTGAGCGTCCTGATGACTCCATCCTTCAGCACCAGCTGCGCCTTCGCCTCCAACTCGGCATCCTGGCGGCCTGCAGCATCAAATGCATCCAACGAACGAGGGTCTTATCTCGCTATTATCTGTGTCTATATTCTCTACATGCACTCCCTAAGGCAGCCAGCGCCACGACACGGAGCCCGACCGTGACTACGCTACCAAAGCTAGTAAAACTGAAGGCGCAAGCAGCAAGTTGGGGGGCACACGGGAAGAAAGGGTTGAAGGGTTCCTTACCCTTTGGCAACGGCAGGACAATGTTCTGAGGGACGTCGAGAGGCCTTCTAACGTCCGCCTGAGGAGCAACCACAATTTTTAATAAGACCCTATGCGGCACAAAAAAGGACAAAGTAAAAAAAACAAAGCAAAGACAAATACACACACAAATGATGCTTACGTGAGCCGCTCGAAGAGCATCAAGAGCTGCCTCCCTCTCTTTAAGCTGCAAACAAGACACAATGCATATGGCACGCACAGCACACGGGGAGGATCGATATGTAATATATATACATTTGTGTGTGTATATATATATATATATATATATATATATATATATATATATATATATATATATATATATATACATATATATATACTCATGCATGTATATGCATATACCCTGTAAGGATGCCTGAAGATATATACCTATGTGCGCATGGAGAAAGAACATCACAGACAAAGCTACCTAGCGAACTCAATGAGCCGCATGTAGATGACAGCAGGTAAGGCGTGTAAGCAGGACGTAAAGGCGTGCTTGGACGGCTGCTGCCTGTTGCGCTGCCCACCCTATCTTGGAGTACTGATTTCTCTTTCCGCGCCTGACGGACGTCCTGCACAGCCTCAGCCAGCTGTCCTTCCAGTTTGACTCGTGTCCTCTCGAGCTCCACCCGTTTCTCCGTCAGTTTCTGTAGCTGTTCTTCGAGCTGCTGCACTTGAGAAGCAAGAGCGTCCCTCTCCAAGGCAGTCGACTTGCTGCGTCCAAAGAAGCTACGTCGGCTGCTCAGCGCACGAGGTGTCTCAGGAGCCGATGGCGCCTCCCGGAGCTTTTGCAGTTGCTGAACATCCCGCACGCAAATACACGCTTATGTGCATACATATATGCAACACATATATACTACTGCAAACAGAAAACAACTTAAACAACACTAGCGTAGCGTGTTGCGTAGTTTAAAATACAGTACTCTAAGAAGCAAAGGCTAAAAATAAACTGCACACGAGAATGTTCGACACTGCAAACGGCATGGTGCTGAGCAGCTGGTCTCTAGTTTAGTTGGTTTGTGCGCATGTTCTGACCTGTTCAAGTTCGTCCTTCTCTGCAGAAACCTCGAGCAGTTGCTGACTCATCCCCTGAAGCGCTGCATCTTTTTCCTGAATCTCTCTTCGTAAATCCTCCATAGANGCAGTTGCTGACTCATCCCCTGAAGCGCTGCATCTTTTTCCTGAATCTCTCTTCGTAAATCCTCCATAGACGCGTTGCCTTCTTCGTTCTCTGCTGCATCAGCGCGATGGCGGGCAAGCGATCTGCACAGAGAGGAGTAATCGACAGCAGTCGAGAGAAAAGGGTGAGGGGCATTCAAATGAGATGGGGGGGAACTAACAGCAGTTGCAGTGCACGCTGACTAAAGGATAAAACAGGGAGAGCTCACTGTTCAACTGCAAGGCGTTTGGTCTCTTCTTCGCCCAACTTCGCCTCAAGAATCTTTCTGCAAAACCAACGCACAAACACAATCGAAAGTCTGAGAAGCAAAATCGCCATTCGTCTCTTTTTCCATAAATATGTATGTATGTATATATGATATGTGCGTGGGCGTGCGTGCGTGTGCACGTATGTGTAAATATATACGTAACCATATTCATAATGTATATATATCTCTGTCGTGTCCTTTGATTCCCGTTTATTCATATAGTTTGAGTGCAGCAGCAGTGATGACTGCCTGTGCCGCTTACATGCGCCTGCATAAGTCCTTGGCGCGCTCGTCATCCTCGGAAGACGACTGCTCTGCTTTCCTGTCTGCGGTCGCCTCCCGGCTGGACTCAAGCTCTGCCTGAAGTCTACTTATTTCTGCGTCCTTCCTTCATCACACAGTCAACGCATCAGCAGGCCACCGTTCTTCGTTGCGCAAAGGTGAGGATGCTTCGTTACAAGGGCCACTCGTGCGACAGCATATCTCAGTGAGATGCAATGAGGAGCCGAGCAAAGTGCCTGAACTCCCTACTTCCGATGTGAAAACCAAAGGACTGAAATCACAGCTTGCTTACCGAGCAACCTCTGCCGCTGTAGCAGCTAGTTGGTTCTTCAGGTCCTCTCTCAGCTGCTTTTCCTCTGCAGTTCTGCGGACAAAAACATCAGCCTTGTGCAATAGCCTTAGGAATTTTGGCGAAGCTGTTTCAAGGCCAACGCGTCTCTCAAGCTGCTTTAACAACGACTCACAGCTCGTCCTGACGCGCAAGCACCTCCCCCGAAGGTTTCTGCTGAGCATCCAGAAGCTGCATTTCAAGTTCGGCAATCCGCGCCTCCCTGCCACGCAAGAAGAAGACAGGAGAAGTTCAAGAACAATCCAGCGGTTAGTTGTGACAGGATAGAACGAAGCTGAGGAAGCCAGCATTTGCCTCTACTCAAGAGTTGGTCCCTTTTTCTCGTTCACCACTCACTTCTCTTCAAGCTCCTCGGCATGGTTTTTGCACTCGAACTCGAGCTGGGCCTCCAGCNGTTCACCACTCACTTCTCTTCAAGCTCCTCGGCATGGTTTTTGCACTCGAACTCGAGCTGGGCCTCCAGCGACTTAATTTTATCTTGGAGTTCCTGCATTCCCTCATTGTTCTGTAGCGCCCTGGACAGCAAACCAATCAAAACAGAGAAAGCTTCCGTTGCAGCTTCAGCTAAGTCTTTAGTTGCCTTACAAAATGGTTGCTGCAACTGAGCTGACCTCTCGCGTTTCATCGATTCAATCAGTTCCACTTTGGCCTCCAGTTGTTGCCGAAGCCGGGCCGCCTCATCCTGAAGTTTCAGTTAACTCATCACCAGTGAGGAGAATATATATACATAAATATACATGCATTTGGAGGTTATCAGAGGCGGCATCTGCACACACCGAGAACTATATACCTCACAGAGAGGGCCCCTTGGCGGACAACGAGTCAGAGAAAAAGCCAGGGAGACTTTTAAAAGGAAGAGCCTACCTTTGCCTCGGTGCAATCTCTCCTCAGCGCCTCTACCTCCTCCCTGATAACAGAAGCAGCACAAGCTCTGCACTTCTGTTTGGCCTTTGACAGTTCTGTGGGAAGAAAGCTAAAGGAAGGGGGCATGTAGCGCCGACGGAATGTCTCACCTTTCCTCTGCTGTATTTACTGAGCTGGCACGCGCATCGCGCTCCTCAATGAGCGCTTTTAAGTGTTTGTTCTCAGCTATCAGCATATCCATGGCATTCCTGCAGCAAATAAGACAGTAACCAACAACCACCTAA